TGATATGAGGACATATAAGTTTGGTTTGATAATACGAGTTATTATGTAACATAACCGTAATTGAGACTACGAAATGAATGCACAAAACTGATGAACCAACTGACACACTGCTTGTATATATGTATGGAAGAGAGCTGATGTTTTTATGCTTTGTTTGTCTTGTTTGTTTTTAAAAAAACCAATAAAATTGTTTTTTTAAAAAAACAAACTTCTTTATATACATCATAATATATGAGTAAAATGTATAATACCAATATAGATTCTTCCAACGTGGTAGCAGTTACAAGCAAAACACAAAGCAGAGAAGAGAAGCAGTTTCAGTTTCAATACACAGACTCAGAGCTCAACACAGCTTCAGAGCTGCAGAGCTTAATATAGAGCCATGCCTCGACTCCTTCCAGTTTCAGTTTCCAAACAGCCCTCATTGGCTAACTTAGTTGCTATGCATATTCATTTCCAGAAACATGTAGCATTTGCAAACAGCCCAGAGGAAAGGAAAAGAAAGGGAACAGAGAACAGAGAACCAGCCATGGCTGGCCGGCTGAACCCATTAACATCCCCAATGAGTACTAGGATTTACCCCAAGTATTTAGCGAGGAGGCTTCTGATGAACTCCCACCCCATTGCACCACAGACTGAGCCATTGAAATCCTACCAGGGGCTAAACTTCCCAAACCGAAAATGTACTGCATGTCCCGCAGAGAATTAAAAGAACTCGGGGCATTTATTGATAAAAATCTAAAAAGGTGTTTCATTGAATCTACCTGACCAAAAATAGCAGCCCCAGTATTATTCTGTGAAAAGAAAGATGGCTCAGTGTGTTTATGTGTTGATTACAAAAATCTTAATGCCATCAGTGTGGAGAATATGTACCCACTCCCCTTCATGAAGGACATGTTAGCCCACCTCTCTAAAGGAATTTTTTTTTCAAAGCTAGACCTACAAGAGGCATTCTACTGCATTAGAATAAGGGAAGGGGATGAGTGGAAGATGGCTTTTAACACCCCACTGGGATGCTACCAATTTAAAGTGCTCCCTTTTGGATTACAAGGAGCCCCTGCCGTTATCATGCAATTAATTAATGAGACCCTCCATGAATTTTTGTACAAGGGGGTTCTCGTTTACCTTGATGATATTTTAATCTACACTGAAAAAAAAAAAAAGAACACATCAAATTACTCCAAGAAGTTCTCACAAAGCTCCTAAACACCAAACTGTATGCAAAACTCTCTAAATGTGAATTCCATCAAGAAAATATTAACTACCTGGGATATAGAGTATCCCATGAGGGAATAGAGATGGACCCACAAAAAGTAAAAGCTGTCATTGATTGGGAGACACTCCATACTCGCAAACAACTGCAAAGCTTCCGGGGTTTTGCAAATTTTTAACACCAGTTTATTCCTGCTTTTGCAAATATTGCCCTCCCCATCATGAACTTGTTAAAAATGAAAGGGGAGGAGAAACCCAAACCAAGGCAACCCTTTACCTGGACAATTGAATGCCAAGCAGCATTTGAAAAACTTAAACAACTGTTCTCTGCAGAACCAATCCTGAAACACCCAGACCCTGAACAACCATTTGTCATCCAAGCAGATGTTAGCAATGTAGCAGTTGGAGCAGTTCTACTCCAAAAGCATGGACGTGAACAGTTACAACCATGTGCTTATACTTCCAAGAAACTGACAGAAACTGAGCAAAGATGGGCCATATGGGAGAAAGAGGCATATGCTGTGCGATGGGCACTCCTCACATGGAGACATTTCCTAGAAGGGAACCAAATCCCCTTTGAAGTCTGGACTGATCATAAAAATCTAGAAGCCCTGAAAACTCCGCGGAAACTCTCAGAAAAACAAGCAAGGTGGGCTCAATATTTTAAACGGTTTAATTTCACTCTCAAATATCTCCCAGGGAGGAAAAATTTCTTGGCAGATGCTCTGTCCAGGAAACCCCAATACAACAGCAAAAAAAAAAAAAAATGAAGTTATAAAACCAATGATCCAACCAACCCAACTTGCAGCCAAAGTAATCACCCGGGCACAAGAGAAGAAAGAATCACTGACTGACAATGCAACCCATTTCAATATTTAAGAAGGCACTACTTAAAGACAACTGGCTCCAGGCTAACAAAGACACTTGCTTACTCAAGGATGGTCTACCCTGGGTAGAAAACAAACTTTACATCTCTGCCAACCAGAGGATGGACCTCATGAAACGTTGTCACAACTCAAAACTAGCGAGGCACTTTGGTTTTGTAAAAACCCTGCACCTCATCAAAAGGCAATTTTGGTGGCCATCTCTCAAAAAGGACATTGAAAACTATGTTGCTAGTTGCCCCAACTGTGCTGCTGCAAAAAGAAGACAAGGAAAATCTCCTGGACTTTTACAAACAGTGGCAGAACCTTCAGCACCCTGGAAAGAGATCTCTATGGACTTTATAGTGGAGCTCCCTGAAAGTGCAGGAAATACTGTCATTTGGATTGTAACTGAACTTTTTTCAAAACAGGTTCATTTTGTACCATGCCAGAAGATCCCAACAGCCAAGGCCTTGGCAAAGATGTTTCTAATACACATTTATCGCCTTCGTGGAGCTCCCCAAAGGATTATCTCAGATAGGGGTGTACAATTCACATCCACATTTTGGTGGGCATTTTTAAACCGATTAGGCTCCACCCAGGGATTGTCATCATCAAATCAATCCCAGACTAACGGCGTGGCTGAAAGATCGAACAGCGTATTAGAACAATATTTAAGATGCTTTATTAATTACCAACAGGACAATTGGACTGACCTCCTTCCTTTTGCAGAGGTAGTATCCAACAACTTGGTCCACATCAGCACTCGTTTCACCCCATTCCAGGTAGCCACAGGTCAAGAATTCAACCCCATGCTGGAATTACCTACCACGGAACCCAAAATTCCCTCCCTTCAGGAGTGAATTAATAATTTGCAAGCCACTTGGCCAGTGGTCAGACTTGCCTTACAAGAGGCTAGAGCAGCTTTTAAAGCTCAAGAGGACAATTTATTACCTTTACAGCTTGCAGTTCCCACAACAACTTCCCACCTGTGGATTGGCTCACCTCAGACTAGACAGCGGGGATGGGTTTCTACATCTTTTAATTTAATGGTTTTGAGTGGGAACTTCAAATCCTGCTATCACTATCTCCCAATAAAAGTTCCTTTTGAAATGCTGCCTGTTTCAAGAGTTCTGCTTTCTTGAGGGGATAGGAGAGGCAAGTCCTTACAATCTTCTAATATCTTAAGATATTAAGCAATTATTTACATTTAGATTCTGTTCTTGTGTTGTATTTCTATCTAAAAGTAAATACAAAATAAATACTTATTTATTCTATGGATAATAAAGTACATAATGAGGCAAAAATTTGGTCTGATGGTTGGAGGGAGAAAAGATCATTTTAAAAATTATTAGTACCAAGAGCTAAATATTCAAGAGATACAGCACAGTATGGTTTTACTTCTGTTTGTATTTTATTGTGGTTATGAAACAAGACAATTTAAATAATGGGTATGTCTTCTTTCCAGCTATATGTCTAGGTCTTTAATTTGTTGTGGATCCTGCAATATGCAGGTAACTATATATTATCTACAGTATGTGTCAATGAAGAGCTATCACAGGTTTTATGGTATTTCTACAAAGAACAATAAGCAAAATGTTTCAAGCCATTTAGCAATAAACTGCATTTTCTCTGCAAGACTTTCCCTGCATTTTTATGTGCATCATTTAACCTCTCTCTAAATTAATTCTATGGTCTCTGATTATTTTCAAAATCTAAGGGGGAGCCCAGAGGTGTCCATTTTCTCCACAGGGAGAAAAATATATTTCAGTATGAATAATTTTAGTGTTAGAGAATAAACTGAAATAGAAGAATATGCATTTCAAAAGCAGAAACTATAAAAATGATAATTAGTTTGGGAGTATATGCATGTGTATTAAAGGTTAACTCTCATGTTTCTAATTTCATTTCAAAAGATCTATTTGTGCCACTTATTAGAAAATATATTTTACCCAACTGGAGTACATTCATTCAGTACATTTTATTTTACATAAAATTATTCTTGGTTCTTCCACTAACACTGTTCATTATCAATATTTTACGTGTAACTGTCACCAACCTATCTATTCATACTTTTATACATACCCACAACAGCATAATGGCACCAATTCATATTTAAACATACATTTTAGTCACTCCTTTTGTAATTATAAACTTTCACTTAACTTCTGTTTTCATCAACTTATTCCATAAGATTCAAGACTCCTTATTCAAATCTGATACAACCTTTGTCTTTCTTTTAGATTCACTGACACACAATATATTTTTCCTTCTTTCATTTATTCATGTTCTTTATAATTTACTTAGATTGCAAACTGAAGTCTTCCAACTGCCATGACTGTGACAAAATGAGCCTGTAAACATTGACTTCCTTTATCCATCATGGATTTAATAAATGAAAGATTTCATATAATGCTTTTTAGAACATAGAAAATGTATGGACTAAGTTAGCCTAATTGCACCAAAGACTAAGGATACAACTGATCAGTTTTGATCCCTTCAGGCCACAAGTTGTATTGTCACAATCACAACAAAAATCCAGTTTTGTGATAAGCAAGTTCATTTATTCTATGCAAAATAGGATTTCTAATATATAAACTATTTTGAAAACCATTTTACTGTGGCCAGCTAAGAGATATACAATATACAATATACCAATGTACACTTCTATTAACAAAAAAAATTTCAAGGAACAGGATAATCAAAACAACTCAATAGAAAATACTTCCTAGAATATATATGTACTTGAAGACAAACTAACTACATTTGTAAACTATTTTTCAATTAAACATAAATATCATAAAGATCATTTCTATTTAAGAACTGTTTGAAATCAAGATAATTTAGGCAACAAAATTATTTAGTTGGAAGAATAAATAAGCATTGTTTATGTACTTCTTGCGGATGAAAAAGATTAAAACATACCTTATGACACATGCATAAAGCCCACTGTCTTGTGCCAGTGTTGGACGAAACCAAATAGCATCTTCCTCTTTGCTCATTCTATTTCCATCAAAAGCTATAGGTTCCTCAAAATCTCCAGGTCCAGAACTCTTGTACCACATTAAACTGAGTCCAGCACTTTGTGCTATGGTATAATTTGCTCTTATATAACCGTAAAACAATGCACACTTTATACGAACAGGTTCTCCCACTAAGACTTGATACTTTTTGTAATCCACTGACCAGTCAGTACATCCATCTGCTGAAAAAAGGAGAAAAAAAAGGCAAAAATGAGTTTTAAGAAGTTATATTCTTAATATATCAAACAGTTTCTGCTCAGTGTGGAACAGAGGTGGTATTCAGCAGGTTCTGACCAGTTCTGGAGAACTAGTAGTGGAAATATTGAGTGGTTTGGAGAACCAGCAAATACTACCTCTGACTGGCCCCACCCCCATCTATTCTCTGCCACCTGAGTCACAGCTGATTGGCTGGGTCTTCTTTTGTTGCCCTGCACAGGAGAACAGATCTGAAAATCAGGTTAGTGGGTTGGGGAGGGAATCAGATTTTGCAGTAACCTTCCCCCAGGAGTGGGGATGGAATGGAGATTTTACAGTATCCTTCTCCTGCCACGCCCACCAAGCCACTCCCACTAAGCCACACCATGCCCAAGCCAAGCTCACAGAATTGGTAGTAAAAATTTTTGAATCCCACCACTGGTGTGGAATGTTATGTTATGTTAAGTTTTGATTTGGAATGGTGCAATTAATAAGAGAAATACTGAAGGGAGATAATACACATTCTTATCCTTATACACATTTCCTTATCATTACTGTATTTTCTTCAGCATAGAACATTAGATCCACTTTCATAATTTCAGAGCATTTCTACCCAAGACCAGTCAGGTGCCACTCTCGCTTCTTAACTCCTCAAAACAACACTAATTAAAAGTGTTCATATTTTATAATTGTTCTCTAATTGTTTTATTCTATTAATAGAATTGCAAGCTGCTCAGTGTCACTGTCAACTTCGAACCAAACCTGGCCGACCCCGAACAAAGATGGGCGGTATGGAACATGGAGGCCTTCATGGTCTGTTGAGCCTATTAATCCTGGTGGCACTTCCTAGAAGGGAGCCAAGTGCTGTTTGATGTATGGACTGATCACAAAAATCTGGAAGCTCTTAGGACCCCTCAGAAACTCTCTTCCAAACTAGTGCAATGGTTCAACTTCACACTAAAATACATTCCTGGGGGAAATAATTTTCTAGTGGATGCCCTATCCCGAATGCCCTAGTACAAGAGCAAGTGCGAAAAAGTGATCAACGTGATCATTCCCCTCCCTCAGAAGGCAGTGCAAGTCACTATAAGGCAACATACTCAGAGATGACTGAGCAAGCCAGGGGGAGAGCTAACCCAGAAGCTCAGAGCCAAGTTCCAAACAAACCCCTGGTTCAGGGAAATAAATAAATATATATCTGCAGGCAAATATATATATCCTCATTATATTATTCAAATATACATAGGCAAAAAATGTCTAACTCCTCATCTTTATCTCTATCTTCTGGTTCTCTGTTGTATCTGAGCAAATCTGACTAAGAATCATTCATATTGATCCAATTCACACTAACATTGTTAATAATCTCTACCACATTTATCAAATTTATGTAATCCTTATTTGAATATTTAAACATATATAAACAAAAGAAATGCCTAACACCTCATCTTTATCTCTATCTTCATCTCTATCTTCCTTGTCAATCTAAACATTTCTCTGTTATATATGAACAAATTTAACTAGGTATCATTCATGTTAATCCAGTTCACACTAACATTAGAGATAATCTCTATCCCACTAATCAAATCTATATAATCCTCATTGCATTATTTAAATGTACATTAAAAATTCCTAATGTCTGTAAACTTCTCATCTATTATTTTTATTCATTCTTTAAACAATTTATGTTCTAATATTTCCCATGTCTAATTTTATTTCTGCCTTCTTAGCTTACAATCAGGCTACTTTAATATTTAAAAGGCAATTTTCCTATCCATCATCACTTCTTTTTAGTGCTTCAATTCTTATCCATTTTTAAATTCAGTTCCCACACTCCTCCTCTTTATCTCTATCGTCATATAACTCTTTTTTATTCAAACTAAACATTTCTCCCAGTACAATCTCATGCTGCCAATTCTCCCAGTTATCTGCCCATATCCCAATCTCCTTATCAAAGGTAACTTCTCGTCTCTCCAATTTTTTATTTGTCTGTTTTATTTTCTTCAATCCTTTTTCCTTTGTCAGCTGACTTATCAATCCTATTTTTTTGGTCCAGTCCTTGGTTTCTTTGTTGATGTGGCCAGTCCAACTTTTCTTTCCACTCCTTTTGCTTGTCCTTTGTCTGGTCCTCCTCTTCATCATGCTATTGCTTTATTTGCTGATTTTTCTGTTCCATATTTTTTCCCTGCTCATATTCCATTTCCTGTATTAAATGGTTCTTTTTGTCCATCTTTCTGTTGCTTCCACCAATTCATGGGCAGTTTGATCTTTATTCAATGTCTTTTGCAAAATGTTTTCTACTTTCTGGCCCAAACCATCAACTAAATTAATAATATTTTAGAACACCAAGGCCATCAAGAAATCCTCTCATTCCCACAGCTTTTCCCTCAACTCTAGACATAATAATGCTAAAAATAGAACAAACAATCACACCTCAATCACCAGTAGGTATTTGTTTTACTCAGTCTCTATTTTTTCAAAACACAGTCAATTGTTTAAGTGAGCCAATTCCAACATTGACTCAGTATTCTGATAGTCCAAGATATTTTCCAAGTTTTTAAATCTGCTCTATGGTTTTAGTCTTTTACTCTAGCTTTCCAGAATCCCTTTTATATAATGTTTCTCTTATTTCCACTTCTGGTGAGCATAAGGCTATAAGTTTCCAGGAGCCCAGGAGTCACCTTTCCTTCCATCAGTTGATGGCGCTCTCAACTTTTCAGCATAATCCGCTTTAAAAATGTTTTTTTCTGCTGCTTGGATAATAATTTTTTTAGAGTCTTTTCTCTAGGATTTTTAAAATCCTTGGGGTAACTTGTAAAGAAGTAAAATTGTCTCACCCAGCAACATGGTCTCTGTTCACTGTTCCCTTCACTCCTGCACTGTCTTGGGTATTCTGGCTGTTCCCAGCTTCATGGCAACCATGTTGACTGACTGCTGCTATTCCACATCTTCAGATGAAGGGGAATTTCCATGTCAGGGAGGAGAGATGTGGCTCTCCTTGACCTGCAAGGCATCCCTCTTTACTTCACCACCCCTCCAGAGTGGCTATGTATGATATATGATATAGTTTGCTATAGTTATTCCTGAAAAGATAAACCAGACAGACTCCATATTTACCCTTAGAATGAACTAAGATAGCATGTTAAGTAACTGTTGTGAGTCTGAGATTTGAACCTGATCAGCCAGCAGATGTGGGTTCGAGCGATGAAGAAGATCTGGCACTGAGATTCGAGCCTGCATTATTGTGACTTAGAGGGGAGTCAAGTAGAGGGAGAGGAGTTGGATCTGAGATATGAGCCTGATTTATTGGAGGTTTCAGAGTCCACTCCCTCCCCTGAATCTACTTCCCTGATTGCACCTCAGGTGTTAACTGTTAATCAGGGAAGTGTGTCAGAGGCTTCAAGCGTTGATGAAACTGCCGGATGCTGGCTGGATGCCAGAACTAGGAGAAGATTGAGACATCAATCTCAATTAGAAAAGCAAAGGATTAATTAATGAGACTGACACGCCCTCTCTCAGAGGATATAAGGGAGCGTACGAGTTCGTAATCTTTGCTGGAAACAAAGTGGATTTTGCCTTGGAAAGAAGTGCGTCTCACTACAGCATTGTGATTTAGGAACTATAAAGAATTGCCAGACAGATTCTAGGAGGATTGCCAAAGGACTGTGATAACAGAGCAATTGAATCTTCTGTCTCTGGTTTTGTTTGCATAAAGTATTTGAACTCTGTAACTTGAGATTCTCACCTGTGGATATAGGTGGGACAGAACAAGTAAGTCCTTATTTGTCACAAAAACATGTTTATTCCTAATTTTGCAAGAACATATTTTGGCAGAGCACATAAGGATTGTTGGTGGGTCATCGGGAATTTTTGGAGGGTCATGATGTTTAGTTTCAAGTTAGAGATGAATAATGTCAAAGGATGTGATATATCCAAGTATTATATAAATTACTGGAATTGAAGGGAAAAACCATGTAGGACGGATTTTCCTTGAAACAGACTCATACCCCATCTCTGATTCTGACCAATGAGATTGTAAAATGTGATAACGGTGAGTAACAGGTGTTAGACCTCTGAAACTGTGTAACAATCTCTATTGTATCACTGGGAACTTGTCTCTCACTATCTCTGAAAAGGAGATTGAGAGTCTGCTTTTGCAAAAGCTTCAATTTATACATTAATAAACAGCTATATATTCTTTGTCATTTTGTTTTTATTGATGTTTATCACTAAACATCAATAAATGGCTCCTTTCAGAGCCCGCTGATGTGAAAGCTCAGGGCAGAGCCACAGAGCTTGTGGTCCTTGCCATTGACAGTGCCAGAAGTGCAGCTGGAAGTCTCACAACAAACAACTTCTAATCTCCAAGGATGGATTGGCATGGAAAGGTTCCAAATTATACATCCTCAGCACCCTCTGGGGCCAAGTTCTGCAAAGAAGCCATGACACCAAGCAAGCCAGCCACTTTGTATCTCTAAAGACATGGCATTTTTATGAAGACAATTTTAGTGGCCAGCAATGAAAAACAATATTGAAAGCTATGTAAAAAGCCATGCAGTATGTGCAGCAATTAAAAACAAAGGCCTGAAAAGCCCTTGGGACTGTTACAACAACATCATACATAGTAGCTTTATACCTTTTAAGGTGGCCATGGGGTGGAATTCATCTCAATGCCTGAGTACCCTAACCCCTCAGGAACCCCCTTTCTCAGTCAGTAAGCCTGACTTAATGGGTAGATTCCCTACAGGATTTTGGGGGAAATGTAAAATGGGCACTAACAAAAGCCACAGAGACACAAAAGGACAAAAAGTGATCCACCCAGAGCCTGTTTCACATAGGGGAGAAAGTTTACCTCTCTACCAAATACTTAACACTGAAATTGCCCTGTGAGAAATTGGGTCCTAAGTTTATAGGACCTTTTCACATCATAAAGATCATCAACCGAGTTATATGGAGCTGAAATTCCCACACCTGTTAGAGAAAGTATGTCCAGTCTTCCAGTTTGTTGAAGCCGGTAATAGGTATGGAGCTAAGGCCAGTAACTCGGGTAGCCCCAGGTCCCATCATAGTGCAGGGAGAAACCCATTACAAAGTAAAAAGAATCCTGAACTCTAGGCTGTATAAGTGGAGGCTACAATACTTTGTTACAGTGGAAGGATTACCCCCTCTCTGAAGCCACTTGGATGAAGAGTCAGAAAGTAAGAGCATGTAGGTTGATCAGGAAATTCCATGAGAAAAATCCCCCAAAGCCAAAAGGACAGCTGGGTGATGGCAGGGATGGCTAGTGAAAAAGTAACTTGTTTGTACTTGATATTTTCCAGATACTTCTCACTCACTAGGGGGAAAGCCAACTGTCAACTTTGAATTGAACCTGGCAGCAGCCATTTTTCTGTTTCTCGGTTGCCAAACAGATGGGGAAGTGGGGAAGGAGGTTGGAATGCCTTACTAAACACAACAGTTTTCTCATGAGAACCAAGGTCATCTCTAGTGGCAACAGATAAGGTCAGAAAAGGAGTGCCTGGAGAGCATGTAAATTAATCCAATCGGCACACACTTGGGGATGGGATTAATTCCTATTTTAATTATACTGAAACCACAGGAAAGATTTAGAGTTCATTTTGACCCCCTCTTCTTTATGGCAGCCCTTCAAATACAGAAATACTGCTATCATAACAGCCCTAATTCTTCTTTTCTTAGACTAGCCAAACCCAAATCCTGCAGCTGCTCTTTATCAGTTTTAGTCTCCAAACCTTTTATCCAGACCTGTTTTTAAGTCAGATCTCACATAATCTGTACTTATGCCTTTGATTTTTCCTGCCTAATTGTAAAACTTTGCTTTTCTCCACATTGAATTTCATTTGTTGAATAGACAAACCATTCAAGTTTGTCAAAATCTTTTTGTATCCTGAGTTTGTCAGGGGTGTTGGCTATTCCTGCCAGTTTAGTGTCAAATGCAAATTTGATGAGATCCCCTTCTATTCCATCATTTAAGTAATTTATGAAGATATTGAAGAGTACTGGGCCTAAGATGGAGCCTTGTGGTAATTTGGTGATGGGGAGGGCAATTTCAGCAAATGAACTGAATAAACTGTCAGTAGAAGTTTGCAAACACCAAGAAGCTTTGAAGCTGTTTGTGGATGTGAGGGGCTTACCAGTCCAAGATGGCTTTGACCTTGCCTGGGTCCATTTGCACTCCTTCACTGGAGACCTGGTAGCCCAGGTAGACTAGGTGGGATTGATGGAATTCAAATTTTGATATCCTGGTGTACAGTTTAGTCACCAAGAGTTTTTTCATTACTTGTCATACTAGTTTAATGTGCTCTTCCAAGGTTTTGGTAAATATGAGAATAATGTCCAAATACACAAGGACCCCCTTATCCCTCATGGAGCACCTCATTAATTAGCTGCATAAACACTGCAGGGCTGTCCTGGAGGCTGAATGGCATCACTTTAAATTGGAAGCTTCTTAGGGGCAATTGAATCCAGTTTTCCACTCATCTCCTTCCCTAATTCACACTCAGTAGTATGCCTCTCGGAAGTCCAGCTTTGTAAACACCTTTCCTTTTGCTAGGTGGGCTAGAAGTTCCTTCATGAGGGGGAGTGCACATACTGCATTAATTTCTCTAAAATCTACGTATAGCCTCATTGACCCATCATTTTTCTCCTTGAACAAGACTGAGGAAACTACCCTTGATTTTGTGGGCAGCTTCTTTTAAGCCAAAAAGTCATGTCAATTAAAATAAATCCAAAACAATGTGCATCATTTTGTGACACAAGAATAATGGGAATTGTATATCCAATTGTTGAAAAGGTTCTCACCATATCCATGTAAATACAAGATTAAAAATATTTCAACTTTGTTTAATTTTTCACTAATAGAAGTTGGCAGTGCAAAAAAGTTAATCTTCAATTATTACAAACTCTAATTTATTATGTATATTTCTAATGAATACCAATTTATTTTATGCAAATTGATATCTACATCTATATGCCCATTATATTAGAAAAATATTCCTTCTAATTTCTAAAACCTCACTGTATTTTATTTTTTAAATATATAGCTAAAGAAAATAAATAAATAAATTTGAAAAGTCATCCGTTTTCAAAAACACAGTAAAAATAGTCTTTCAGGAACTCAGTCTCTCAGTCAGTAACAATAGAAGCTTCCCAGAAACAAACAAACTAGATAAGATATATTATTGCAGGCAAGAAAAGAGGCAGATACTGTTATTGCAGAAGAGAGGAATCAAATCTGGTATAATGGAGTATAATGGAGTTTGCATACAGTCATGGGAGTTTCACTTCTGAGCTAGTCCCTCCTGTTTTTACTAGACAATGGACATTGGATCCTTTTTTCCAATCTTAACAGTGAGATCCATCTTTATATAATGATTCTGTTGGGCCTGATAATCACTGCTTACAAGCTTACCATCCTCAGCCATAACAAAACTATTAGGGGTACTTGGTGCTCTCTAAGCTTGTTGCTTTATTTGCAGACATTTCATTACCCTAACTAGGTAACATAAACAGTACTAGTCATAACAAAACTACACCAAAGTGTATGTACTGCAATAAATTCCAATCATTAATATTTTTAAAAGATATGGTAATATATTAACATGAAACAATATTTCAAAAAGTTTTAGTAACAATTGGTTATGAAATTGGTAGTAAAGTACAAAAATTGATAGTAAAGTAAAAATTGGTTCAACAACATGCATGGTGGCAATATCATTCACTAAAAAGATTATTAAGACACTGATACTACAGGTGGCAAGAGAGAAAACCTTAAAGTACAAAGATAAAAAATTGTGGTGCTGAAACAGGTACCAAGAAAAGTAAGAGAGGTGAGAAGAGAATAATTATTTTTGACTAAAGAGTTACTTAAAAGAGGAGTAAATTACAGATGGCTGATTCCAGAAGACCTCTTGTTCACCTGGCAGGAACAAAGACACAGAATTGACACAGTTGAAAAAGCTGAGCTATTCTACTTAGAATATTTTGGAGGAAAAGAGGAAGAAGCTAGAAAGGAAGAGTCACTAACTGAATTCCAAGAGGAGTGTATAGCAGTAATTGAAAAAGAGAAAGAAGAAGGCGCAGTAGATGGTGTACCCAGAGAGCAACGAGAATTAAGACCTACCAGAGCAATAAAACTCCCTCATAAAGCCTAACATGGATGAAAGAAAATTACGATTAACATAAATGGACTTAATTTGGCCACTAAAAGAAGGAAAGTATTTCATAAACTACAGAAATTGAAATTTGATATAATTTGCTTACAAGAAGTACATATTAAAAAACAACATGAATATATACTTAAACAAAAAAAAATAGGGAAATTATTTACATCGCTGGCACAATCTAAAAAAAGAGGTGTGGTTTTATATATTAAAGACACAATTTTGGCAGAATTAATTTATACAGATGACGATGGAAGGATTTTGATGGTGGAAATAATGGATAACAGCGTTAAAACACTTTTAATTGCAATTTATGCTCTGGATGATAACCAAGAAGAATTTTACAGGAAATTAC